GCCAGTGGGATCCTGGGGTGCATCAAGAAGAGTGTGGCCAGCAGGACGAGGGAGGTTCTCCTTCCCCTCTACACTGCCCTGGTGAGGCCTCATCTGGAGTACTGTGTCCAGTTCTGGGCTCCCCAGTTGAAGAAGGATGAAGAGCTACTGGAGAGAGTCCAGCGGAGGGCTACAAGGATGGTGAGGGGACTGGAGCATCTCCCCTACGAGGAGAGGTTGAGGGAACTGGGCTTGTTCAGCCTGAAGAAGAGAAGGCTGCGAGGGGACCTAATAAATGCTTATAAATATCTGAAGGGTGGGTGTCAGGAGGATGGGGCCAAGCTCTTTTCAGTGGTGCCCAGTGACAGGACAAGGGGCAATGGGCACAAACTGAGGCACAGGAAGTTCCGTCTGAACATGAGGAGGAACTTCTTCCCTCTGAGGGTGATGGAGCACTGGAACAGGCTGCCCCAGGGAGGTTGTGGAGTCTCCTTCTCCAGAGATATTCAAGACCCGCCTGGACAAGGTCCTGTGCAGCCTGCTGTAGGTGACCCTGCTTCGGCAGGAGGGTTGGACTAGATGACCCACAGAGGTCCCTTCCAACCCCTACTATTCTGTGATTCTGTGATTCTGTGATTCTGTGATTGTATGGGGTGACACAGCGGAGGTGGCGTTTCTTAGCCTGGAGAAGAGGAAGCTGAGAGGAGACCTCATCATTCTCTACAACTGCCTGAAAGGAGGTTGTAGCAAGGTGGTGGTCGGTCTCTTTTCCCAAGTAACAAGTGACAGGATGAGAGGAAATGGCCTCAAGCTGTGTCAGGGGAGGTTTATGTTGGATATTAGGAAAAATTTCTTACCCAAAAGGGTTATCAAGCATTGGAACAGGTTGCCCAGGGAAGTGGTTGAATCACCAGCCCTGGAGGTATTTAAAAGACGTGTAGAGGTGGCACTTGGGGACAAGATTTAGTGGTGGACTTGGCAGTGTTAGGTTTACAGTCGGACTTGATGATCTTGAAGGTCTTTTCCAACCTAAATGATTCTATGATTCTAAACTCTCCCTTTTCTAGTAAATAACAACCTCCATCAGCAGAACATCCACAGATAACTCTCTCTCATCTTGGTATCAGATCAGTTCTTTCAGACAGTTCTGCTCAGTGCTAAACCAGCAGAACAGGAATCTTCAGCAGAAACAGATAGTGCTGCAGATAGGTGGAGGACTACCAAGAGTATGTCAGGACCTGAAACAGTAATGAAAACATATACTTTGCATGAGGCACACTTCCCAGGTGTAAAGGCTTTTTGATAACACACAGCACAACGCAGTCAAGAACTGAAGAAATACTCTCAGAAGTACTATGCCATTCATTCACCTTTGTTTGCAGTAATACCACAAAATGAACTTCCTTCAGAGAAACCACCATTCTGATCACACCATCATCAGTTGCCAAATCCTACAGCATTTATATCAACAATTTTCATAAAACAGAAGGGATTTCAAGCTACTTGTGTGAAGTACTTCCCCACAAACCAAACCTGCAGCACTGCTGCTGACCAGCCTTGCTCTCAGCAGCAGCCAGTGCTGCTTTCCAGAGCACCTGCCATAAACTACAGCTAATGCCATGCCCGTTTGAACTTACCAGAACAGAAGAAAGCCTGGGCTGTCATGTCAGAAAATGCTGTTCATAAATGCTCCCTCTGAATTTTGAGAGAACAGAGGACTCGGCTCCCTCTTTTCAGGAATATTCTGCAAATTGCAGCTAGCTGAGGCCCAGCTGCAGGTTACTGCCTGGCACCTGTTGATCAAACAGGTTTCAGGCAACCATTTGACACAGGCCTGCCCTGAAGAGACTAGCAAATACCTGAATTGTTGGAAATTTAACCCTTTTCTGCCACCTGATCACAAACAGCATGACATGGACTAGTTCAGCCACAGCTGAGATCCCAAGTGCAAGGCTGGTCCCCCGGAGCAGTGGCCCCGGTACACCTGTTTACCCATGGAAAGGAGGGGTACGTCCTACTCACCAAAGGCACCAGCAAAGCAGTCCAGAGTAGGGGTGTCTCCACAGGCTTGCTCACGGAGCAGAAGTTGAAGATGTCCTTTTCCACAGAAGGGCTGCAGCACTCGTAATGTGCAAAACACTGTGCTGCACCACTGCTAATGGTTCCCTGAGGAGTACTTGGTACTGTCACACAGCTGCCCATCAGCATCCACTGGCTGGATGCAACTCAGGATGGCATGCACAGATACAGTCATGCTTTCAGTTTGGGAAAGCATCTCAGGATCAATAGGGCCCTTTCTAAAACAAGCAATCTACCAAATCAACTGCCTATGAAATATTTTGGCTCTAAGATCAGAAATTATTACTTTATCAATAATAAAGTGCTTCCCAGGAGATTCATACAGAGAAGACTTTCAGGATTTCCTTTTGGCAAAATACACCTTTGTTTGGGTAGGAAACTCACCCTTGGCTTGAGACAAATGCAAATTGTACTTCAAGAGCATACCAATTTTCCCTCAAAGTCTTCTGATATAAGGCTATGAATGCTCTTGAACTTAAGGAAGTGTGAAGTAAAAGTTTTGCATAACAAATGTTACTGCTTAATACACTAGGCACTTACCGCAGACCTGGCAACTATAGTCTTTGCTTAATCAGACCATCCTCCTGCTACACAAAATATAAAAAAGTAACTCTACCGACACCACCATTACCACCTCAGTATAAAAGTGTAGAAAGCACAGAAAACTTAGTCACCATTGCATAAACATGAAGAGTACTTTAAATGCCTCAGCCACAGCATCTGTTTCTTCTATTGTGAATATACACTGAATCACAAGAACCCAGTACTCCACTGAAGCGCTCAATGACAAATGTAATTTTATTTCTTCACTCAAACTGAATTTTCTCATTCCAAATCTTTACTGAAAGAGATCGTTAAATGCTTACAAAAAACAGGAACTGCTCTAGTAGGCAGCTAGAGAAATGTATGTATCCATACAGGTACGGAATGTAAATTTCAACTCATATAGATCACAGCATACAAAGAAGATTTTTATGCAATACAGACTTACAAAACAGTAACAGTTCTGTTCACAAATAGTTTCACAGAGTTCTGCACAGCAATCTTGTAGAAAAGTAGATTTCTGCAACACCAAAATAACTTACTGTTCCTTAGTATAAATTATTTTTGATTTTCTAAAAGAAAGAGGAAATTTAATATGATTGGGCAGGATCTGAATGGATTTGGTGATAAAAAAAATGTTGCTATACGCAGAAAAGGAATATGGCATGTGCTACAGTATTGCAGGGGCTAATTCTGGGAAAAAAAAAAAGTCACCTGCAAGTCTTGTGCTTCTGCTGCTGTATGGAGGCTGTGCACGAGCAGACACCTGCCTTTTTAGTGCTTTCAGAGTCAACCCGCAGAAGTGTGCTTTGGTGCTTGCACCTGTTAAAAAAATACCTGCCTCTCTGGGTTTCTAATTTGAGTTTAAAGTCCTCAAAAGAGCCTTTCTGATTTTGAGGAACAATCCACATTTTGGTGTGCTTTGAAGGAGATAGCAGGCAGAAACTAGAAGCATTCACATTTGATGTAACACGAACTCCATTCTCGATTTCTCTCTCTGAACTGCACAAAACATACAGCTAAAAAAGAACTAATTGTCTAGGCCTAGAAGCATGCTTGAATAGTAACTTTGATGGAAATGATCTGAAAAGTTTGAAGTTACATTAACCATAATTTAAATATTACCATTGTTTCTCAGAAACTTCAGTGCTGATGTAGTACAACCATTTGCAAAAGTATGAGACAAAGTGTGATACAGGCAGCACAGATTTAAATTCACCAAACATCGTAATTCATTTCCATTATGATAAAATATTCCTCAAGGTTATATGTAAAGCTTCAGATGGAAAATGTGTTTCTTCATAATATAGCTACAATGTGAATTTTAACCATCTTTTCTTTAGGTTTCTTTTACATACAGGGATCAAAATAGACTTCTCATTATGACTAAAAATATAGATTTTTAACTACAGAACCCAGCAGCCATTTTTCTGCTTCTTTGCCCTTCCCCCAAAAAAGTCAAGCAAGGTCTACAAAAATAGCAATTAACTTTAAAAAATAGGTTGCTTCCAGCAATTTAAATTACATTCAGATGTAATATAGCTATTTATAGGGAAAAATGTTGTGGCAAGACACCACAGGAGGTGTACTGTTTCCTTCTGACAACAGCTGCCCACATCAGTGCTAATCTTGGTCTCTGAAGATCAGTATCTGGTTTGATACTCATGGTGCCAACGATTGAAATCATTGTAGAAGACCACTATGCTCCCAGATGCCATGCCAGTCATTATACACCTAAGGAGAGCACAAGACCATATTCGTTAGTGAACAACCACACGTTCAGATATATAATTCACTGAAGAGTTACATCAATATAGGCATGAGAACCCGAGGCAACGACCAACTTCCACCTAAGACAGCTGGAGCTGGAAGTGCTCCACATACCAGAGAAGTCAGGCTTTAAGGGCTCCCAGTCTTGGGCCTCCAAGGACTTCGGCAAGCTGGATTTGAACAAAACTGCCAACTGTACCACCTCTGACAGATTTATGGATCACAAAACATACAAAACACCATGCAACAGTTTGTATGGTCGGCCTGAAGTTACAATTGACAGACAACAGAATTGTTTACAAGCATCACTGTCCTGCAAGCCCACTTCAGAATTCCTGGGGTTATTTCTTGGCTTGTTTGGTTGGTTGGGGGGGGGGGGAGGGGGGATTGCAGTGGGGTGCAGCAGCAAAGGGAAGGAAGGCTAGGAGAAGTATTCATTTCAGTTTCACCTCCCCCATTTAAGCACATGATCTACATGAATTGGATGTGGGCTCAGGACTTCAGATGGCTTTCAAACTCAGATACTAACATTTCCAGTTGAAGGCTTTGATTGTTTTGGAAGTTCATGAAAGCAATCACTGTGCTTTCCCACTGAGCCACTCTCTCCTCCTAAATTCCTTACAGTTGGCCTACTACTGAAGGTCATTTAGATCTGTTTGAAAAGCCATGACCCTGACATTGCACACAATTACAAGAGTTTCTATATCATCTTTTCTACTGTCTCATATTAAGTTTTATGAAAAACAAAAGTGTGAGAATGTATAAAATTCTGGCATTTTAGGAACAAAGCCTCAGAATTAAAAAAAATATTCAGAATAAAAAGATGTAATTTTTTCTTCAAAACAAAGACTAAATATGAGATCAACAAAAGATTGCATTTGATAGTACCAAACTATTTCATTTCAAGACCACCATTTTGATTGTTTCTGTACTAGGTTAAAATGTCTTTTTACACACTGTCAAACACATACATTCATGCATAGCAAATAAATTACTCTCAGTAATTACCTGTAATTACTGAGTAATTAGTAAAATACATTGAGTAAATCTCTTCTGAATTTCTGTGTCTTCAAACCCAAAGTGAATAGGTTCCTAACTTGAGCACATGGACAAATTTACAGATGTCCATATTAACTTTCAGTTTATTGACATGTGACGATTATGTTGACATGCCATTAATTACAGTTTAAAGATTCTCTAAATGCAAAATTTTACACTTTTCAGAGGTCTAAAATCCAATATCAGTAACTACAGCTTTTGAAATATTTTTAACAACAGGGACTTTTTAATGGGAAACTGTTTCTTCCAAAATACCTATAATCTCTAATTATCATTAACAAGAACTTGTTGAATGTTCGACTGAAGTCCACAGATTTTTCTGGCTTTTTTTTTTTTTTAAAGTTCACTTTACGTAATTTTTAGAAACATAGCTCAAGTAGAAATGTTAAAACATTCAGTATGGACTTCAGTAAGTGGAAGCTCAAGAGTCTCAGCGATATTCTTCACCACACAATGCAGACATTCCTAAGGGATTTAGGAGCCAAATCTGCTTGAAAAGCACACAGGAACTCCACTAAGTAAACCCACCAAAGCAAACAAAATTCTAGCCCAGAAGGTAAAAGTGTACAAATGAAATGGTAAACATCCATCTTTTAAACAAACAATACTTCTGTGATAAAAACACAGAAGGACTTTCAAATACATCTGCACTGGAAAGTGTAATGTGAAAATGCGGTGAAAATACTAACTGATTGCCTTCGGTAGGAGGAATCTTCAAGGAGGGTCATACTTTATATGGATAAAATAACAAAAATTAGTATTTCCTTTAGAAAAATATGGATGCTGGAATTAGGAATGTGATTTGTATCATAAGTAAAAGAAGAAACATGAAAAGCACATGTGACCTTCCACCTCTATGTGACCCACACTGTACATTGGCACAAGTTAATAACTCAACCTCTCTTGAAAGTCTGTCAAAGTAAAATTTCTTGAATCTCTGTTCGTTCCCCCAAGAGCTTAAATCCTGAAAAAGATTATCTGCCCTAAAGATGACATGTTAGAAAGAAACTTATGCAAGCGCAGAATTCTCAATATAATCATCAGGATCTGTGATCTACAGAAAATCAAAATCAGAAGAAAAACAAAAATGCAATTTAATTTTAAGTACATATTCTCTGATATCCTTGTGAAGACCAGACTTTGCTCTAACCTTTGGTCATATGACAGGGCCATGGATCGGATTCCAGCATCACATCCTGGGTAAGCAAAAAGCTGCTTGAGGTCCCACATCTGCCATACCATGACAACTCCGTTGTCTCCACCTGTAAGCAGATACTGTCCATCTCGACTCAGCTGAATTGCCTAAGGGGAAATCACATGGATGTTTGTCAGATAAATGTGTGTTACTCTTACTCCCCCTCTTTTACCTTCGTTAAAAGTTTCATATCGACAGCTGAATGTCTAGGGAGACTTGGTATCAATACAAGCTTTTGGGAAGCAACATTATTGTTATGTTATTCTGTCCAGCAACAGAATTAATGTTATTATGCACAAATCTCTTTAATACATTTAGATGTCACTAGTGAAGTTTTACCTCACCTGTGATTTATTCCATATTCCAAAGATCTAATACGGGGTCAGCTAAAGAAATTTACTCTTCTAATTAGCTAGATTTACAAGATCTAGGAGCACTGCCATTAAAATATAGTACCTGACATTCCCCCAAGGGTCTTTAATACTAGCCTGGCAGAAGCTATCCTCCTCTTTCTGGCAAAAGGCTGAGTGATGGAGGGAACTGAAATGTTACACAAATTACTAGAATTAATTTAGACCAGCATTTTTAGATTCCTGCTTTGGATTAATAAGATAATGATCCACCCCTCTTAATAGAGACTGTATTTCCTTTCATCTATCCTGAAACCACCTGTGACAAATTCAATGGCTTATACCCTGATTTTGCATGTATCGTGGAGACTGATGGCAAATCTACATTTAAAAACTTTTTTAGGGATCCAGATGATGGAGAAAGATGAAGATTTCTTGAAACAGGAGTCTTCAACCTATTTTGATATTTCTTGTGTGCTGTTGGAAAACTCATGATACCTACTGAGTACCTGGAAGAACAGCAGCTTTCCACAGTTACCTGATGACTGTCACCTGATAAGATGATAAGATGGCTGGAAGCATGAGAAATATTTATTAAAGAGGCATTTTGATAGTTTAAATAAACCAAAATGTGGTTTAAGAGAACTGAATTTGAAATTTTATTAAAGTAAGTGATACCCTATGGGGTCAGACAGACTATGAACCATAAGGCCCAGTGTTGTATCACCAACTGTGGCAGCAGGAGATGCTATGAGGCTGGCCACTCTATTGTCCATTCCCCTTGTGCTCCCCAGCACCCACAATCACTGGATCAGGAATATTAGAAAGTATATCTCTGTCTACTCCCCTTAGTATCAACTTATGGACATGCTGTCCATGAATTTTCTTAATCTATTTTTGAGCCTGCTGATGCCTTCTATGGGGAGAGGAGGGGGGGAAATTGGCAGAAGTTCATCACCATGCAAAATATTTTTTTCTGTTCTGAAGTGATCCTACTAGTTTCAATGAGTACCCCATAGATCTCATATTGCAGGGTTTCACGAATAACAGTTCTGCATTCATCTCATCCATTGCCTTCATCACTGTAGACCTTCAGCATACCTCACCTCAGAAAACACTGAATAAAACTAGTTCCCAACACCAAACCGTGGAAGACTCCATTACTGACTTTTTCAACAGCAGTACTAAGATCTTATACATCTTTTCAATATGGGTCTTGGCAATTACTACTACATAACCCTGAGAGTACAAAGCTGCTTCTGAAAGGAAGACCCTGTCCTGCTGCCATGCAGAATAGAAGCTTAAGCAGTAGAGGATACCACGCCCTCATTTGATAGTCTCATCCACCAACTAGCTGGGAAAACTGAAGGATTTGTAGTATTTTCTAAAAAAAAAAACAAAACCAAAAAGTTGAATGAATTCTGACACGTGGAATGACATCAGCACAAGCTACCAACAAGATCATGACCCTTAAACCTAGAGTTTGGACCATTATTAATAACTCCTGTAAGCCCAAACCTTTTCCTATGCTCTCCTTTTGCTTCCAGATGCCTCTTCTCAGTTCTCTTTCTGACTTTTGCTCCCCAGCTTGACTCCTGTTTTTCTTCCCTTCTCTGCTCCCTACTTCTATTTTTGTATGCAATACTCAGCACAGCAGCAGCCTATCATCCTTTTCATTTGAGCACACAGAAGGCTGAGAAACTTCTTTGCTAGTTGTTTGGGGGATGATTTGCTATTATCGAAAGGAAAATAAGCAACTTTGCTACTATGAAGCACTATTATCTAGTATTAAACTCCTGATTCTACCTAATCCTTCACTCCAATGCTCCTACTTCCAGTTCCTATTTTTCCTTCACTCCCTTCTGCCTCTTCTTGTCTTCTCCCAGTCTCTGACAAGTTTCTACATTCCCATCTCTACATCTCTATTCCTGTTGCTCTTGCAAACACCTCTTTTGTTCTGTCCTTGGTTCTATCCTTGACTCTGGTTCTATCTTTGATTCTGCTCTTCTTTCTCCTCTGCTTCCCCATCATCATTCCCTTCCTCGTCCAGAATCACCCATCACATTTCCTGGCATGGCATTTTGTGCACCTCACTGTAGGGGATGATGGTTGCAGGGCAAAACTGCAGTCCTGGGCCACAGATGTTCAGTTCAGGATGTAGATGCTAAGCATTATCTGCTGAATGCATTTAACCTGAGACTTGTGAATCAGCTGAATTTGGGCAGCTTTTTAACTAAATACACACTAGGACTAATTAGTGATAAATTGCAGCTCCCTGAACCAAAGCAGGGAGCCACAAAACTTTTCAATAGAACAATGCAAGAATGGAAGAAATTCACAGCAGTGGCTTTTAAATTCCAAACATCCATATTCTACAAATACATTGATCCACTTCTGCTGAAACACTGCCACTGGAAGGCAAGGAAATTGCATCAAGATGATAGTCTACAAGCAAAATTCCAGCTCAAATATTTAAATTTAGGAAACATTAGAAAGAACTGAAGACAGAATCTTGCAGACATATCTCTTTCTGCTGAAGTCTGCAACGATTTTGGCACTTGAAATCTCTGCTGCCACGGTTTTTCAATATGCAAAACTTGTAACATACTGTGATTTTAAATTCCTCAGGAAAAGGAAGTTGTTTTTTTAATATACAGAATTTATAGCAGACGCACCACAAAAATGATAGAAACTAAACCACAAAAAAGTTACATTCAGGCAACATTAAAGTGTTTATACAGACTGCTGACAAACCTAGAAACCAAAATACACAGAGTATGTAAGATACTGCTTCATGAACAGCAATAACATATTGCATATCTGTATTTTTTGTATTGCTGTACTCTATTACTATGATGCCAAATATATTCTTTAAGAATTATATGATGTGCATAACTTACATTAAGATAGTTCCTATATTATATTATAAAGTCTGTGTTTACTGCAACAACTCCCAAGTTATCAGAATGAATCACATTGCTAAAATTTTGTCACACAGTAACTTTAACATGAGTGTAATTGAAACATAAACGCATACTGTAAACAAAATATTATAACACTGAAAAAAAGTTGATAAACCTATTCCAGCTGTGTTTTGAATTAAGACGACAACACATACATGTAAATGTAGATATAATCAAGCAAATTATTTGGAGGTTTTTTTCCAACCATATGCAAGAATGGGAAACTGAATACTAACCGAGGTTACAGTTCAGTATTCTGAGGTGAAGCTTCTCCCCCCCAAAAAACAAATGTTCCAACCATAAATTGCTTCTGTAATTGTTTCTACCATCCTAAAAATATATGCTAAGCACCTCCCAAAGCACAGCCCCAAGGAGCTTGAAAACTCATTTAGAGACCCACTTAGAAGAGTATAGTCACTCAGTAAGAAAGGTGTAGAAAACACACTGAGATAAGACTGTGAAAATTATCTAGAACTTGCATGCACTGAGTAGATGATCATGAAATCTAACATACCACACACAATTGTTCAAAAGATTGCTCATTAGAAGCAAAAATCAATATGGGGTGGTTTTCTTCTCTATAGCAATGGCAGCCTCCTAAGGGTATTTTCAAATTGCAATGAAGACTGTGACAAATAATTATTTGCTACACTTATAAAATTCAGCTGATGAAAATCCATTAACCTTACGGTCATGGTTCACCTGAATTTTATACTTCAGGCTTTTACTGAAGAAATGCTATATTAAAAGGCAAATTAAAGCCATTAATCTTTAACTCTTCCACTACCTGTAAAATGCAGTCGTTTTTGTGATCTTTTCATTAAATAAGTATAGGCTTTGAACCCTTACTAATACCTGTGCAATTTTACTAAGTCATTGGCTTTTCATGAAGACAAGATGTTGATTTATTTATTTTTATTGTTTATTAACAAATTTCTCAGCCACTTGTCTATATATACATATGAAGGCATGAATGGAAGAAAAAGGTCACCCTGTCAACATTTCCATTTCATGACATGCCCTTCAAGATTTAACAAACGAAAGGATGCTTTCTTAACCAAGTACTCCAACTGGTATAGATGATGACATGAATCAATTTTACTGTTCTGCTTTTCCCCAGTGTAGTTTGTCTATGATTCTGCTAGGTATGAAACAAACAACTCTGCAACTAATCTTTCTCATAACATGAGCTTCAGACTCTCAAATAATCCCCAAAGTGCACAATTTCAGCAATGTTCTAAAAACTCCATTTCTGACTTGTATTTCCTTGGAAGGTCTCAAATCTTTGCACAAACCCCTTTTAACATCTCAGATATTTGAAAAGCATCGCTTTGTAAAAAAGGCAGAGCTGACACTGTGACAGCCCTGGCTTACAGCAGCAGGAGTCTTGTGGGCACTTCCACGTTTCAGAACAGACTCAGGAAAGGAAAATAAATGGGGTCCTGTGGGTGAAACAGCATACAGTCTTTGTTTAGGGTAAAATAATTTTAGTTTTCAGAATAAGCAGACTATTTAGAGTTCAGTTATTCATTAAGATATCTAAACATTACATGGTAGATGTACTGCGATATGCCTAAGCTCCACTGAGCAATACAGTATTTAAAATAAAAACAGGTGGAAGGCATTGATTAGACTTTGAATTTCCACAGAGCATCTGAAATTTTTCTAGCAGTTTTCTAGCACAAGAATACAAGAAAGAAAATTGGAATGTTGGTCCCAACATCACTACTGAAAACTGTTAAGTTTTGTCAATAACATTCTGGAATACTGGTCCATTATGACACAGGAAAACAGAAAGTAGAATGTTAAATTACAGATTCAACACTTAACAACCTTTTCCTTCCCTTTTCTGTCCTCCTTGAGCTAAAAACAATGAAAAGTGTTTGTCAGCACAGCCCGTGGGGTAGGTACTATTCATTTTAAATGCCCCTACTTTAATCATGCAGTTGCCACTTGCCTTCTAACATGATATAGTGCAGAAGCACTGGGAAAGACACTGTAAGTTGTTTAAGCATAAAGCCCAACTGGGACCACCGGGAGAGAAAGAAAACAAAACAAAACAAAAACCCCTGTACGTATGTAATTCTGGCCCACAGAGAGCAGAACTTCCACTGCCTCTAGCGACATTCCTAAAGCTGTGGGTACTGACTGAAACACTACAGAAATTGTTTCAGTTGGCAAGGGATTTCTAGATATTTTACAGATTTGTTGGCCTAGCTGACAACATAATCACAACTGAGAGTGACAGATTATCAACATTATTATTGTAAAAAGAGAAAACACTGTACTTGCTTTATGGAAAGAATGGGGCTGAAGGGTAGGCTGAAAATCTCAAAAGAATTTGTACAAGGACAGCCAAAGGTGCAATTTCAGAGAATTGAAGAAATATTAAAAACTGAAGCAAGAATCTACATTAATTTGGAAAAATGGCTTGGGACAGAAATATACACATTCCTACTTCATTTCTCCAGCCTCAAATCTGCACTTGTGGCTGGCACAGCATGCAAAGATCAAATGCGCTCTCACCCCCGCAGACAGCACTCTGACTATGGAAAACAGACCTACACAGAGAGTTATTTCTGCATCTTCCACCACCAATGTATCTGACATTTTGAAAACACAGGGTTGCTGAATTGACAGAGATTAGTACACGACAGAGTATTAGAAGGTTTTAAGTGGAATACACAGAACTACACTGGAGACTTCAGTGGTGGTGGAGCATTCGCTGTTCAATGTATGTTATAAAATGGAAATAATGAAGATCAAAATTCTTTCAATTCTATTAAGACATTCTTCCATCTTAAGAATAATACGAATTGAGGCAAGAGAAGAATAGGTGCAAATTTTTAAATGCTCGCAATTTTGCACAACATTTGAAGGAATTTCAATAACTCTGTAAAACAAACATGAGGGCAAAGAGGCATTTTCTTCCTGAAACATCTAATCCAAATAAAGGAAAAACTTTTGAGAGTTTTCAACTCAAGAGAACATTGGAAATCCCAGCAGCTGAGTTGCTGGGCTCTTCCATCAGATTGTGGAAGTCAACTTGGAGATGCAGTACTGCTATATGCTTACAACAGTCTCCTCTTGCTGATATGAAACAATTAAACAGTTTTTATATAGGAAACACTTTACTGCGAGGAAGACCGAGCACTGGCAAAGGCTGTCCAGAAAGGCTGTAGAATCTCCATCCATGGAAGATATTTAAAAGCCATCTGGACATGGTCCTGGCCAATTGGCTTTTGATGGCCCCGGTTGAGCAGGGAGGCTGGACCAGATGATCTTCAGAGGTCCCTTCCAAACTCAACCATTCTGTGATTCCACGCCTCTCAGACCATAACTGCTGGCATACAAACCATAACTTCAGATAATTCAGGTAGCGTGAATGCTGACCCAGCAATGTGATCTTGCTTCATGTCTCTGCTGGATTGTGTATCTTTCTAGCAGATTTGGTAACATTTGTTCATTTTTTCCCCTTCCCTCTCTTTCTCCTTCAAGGAAAAAGTGGGAAATTTTAATTCAAGGAAAGTATTCTTTTGACATTTCTGCTTCACTGCAGTATAGCTGGCAGGTTCTGCTCCACTTCATAGGTACTATTTCATACGATCTGTCAAAAGATCTGCGTTTTGTATTATAAAATAATTTCCGCAAAACCATAAGCTCAAAATGCCTCCTGCATAGTTTTGGACTTGCTCCATGTCTCTTGCAGCTAAAGTGTGGAACATAGCTGCCTGCTCAGCAAATGACAAAGGGCTAAAGAGTAGAAATACAGACATATGCTTATAAACTTCCTGAAGCTCAGCACAACACATGCTATTTCAAGCTAAGATGAAGGAATGTAGACAGAGATGCCAAAAAAGGGAAAGCCAACATACACAACATGTCCATTGACCTCCTGCCTTCAGACTCCAAAGTAAAGAAGTAACCCAGCTTCTCCTGGTCAACACTTAGTAATATTTGTATTCTTCAGTTCAAGGAAATGCCAACAGGGCACTCCTTACTACATGAACAGAGTTATTTTAAAATTAAAACCAGTACTATTACAAGCACATGGTCCCCTTAACTACAATTTGTTCAGAATGCTGCTATTATGGTCTAGTACTATATATTTCTATGGCCTGGCTATAGAAGGAGTCTCCATAGAACTCCAACATTGATAGCTTTTCCTGATACTGGAGCTGCCAGTCCTTAGCACACATTTGAGCACACTCACCTTTATCTTGTCATCTGTTTCCATAGTGGCTTGAAGTGTCCCATTGACACTGAATACACAGAAGAGGCCATTTTCATAATATATGACACAGTGGCCTTCTCTTGAAGCTTGAATAAGTTTTGGTCTCAGGCAGTTTTCAGGACCTTCTAATGTTTCAGGACCTTCTAATGTCCTCAGTAGATCTCCATTCATAGAATGTATGAGACATGGTCCTTCTAATGAGACAGAATAAAATCTCTAGTTACTGCCTTACATGCTCATTGAAAGACATCATATATCAGATAATACGTAATGACTTCTACTTAGGTAATCGCTATTATAATACTTCATAATGATTTTTACCATGTTTAAGTGCCTATGACTTTAATGGAGTAAAGGGAGTAAGATGAACAGTTTATTCCTTAAAAGCTTTGTATTAAAGTAGTTTAGAGCACCTATCAAAACTAGAGTCCTAACAGACCTTTTGTGGATTTTCTTTTAAAACTGGTAGTAGTTAATTTTGAGAGCACAAAAATAAATGTACTGAATCCTAAATGAGACTTTCAAAATACAAAGACACTCAGGGGTAAGTGTAATGAATTTATATACGTAGGTACTCTAAAAATGTATATTCTCACATTAAGATTTTAACCCATACATGATCCACTAAATATTTGGTTTTTAATACAGTTGGACAAATACCTGTTTTGCATGTAAGCCACAAGTGTTCACATGCATAAAATAGAAATGTGCACACGTGCATATGGTGGGAACACCAAACTTTGAAAAAGTGTCTCAAAGTAGGCACTTTGGAAACACTAAAGCAGAAAGATCCTAATTCTAAGAAATTTTCAGTTTAAAAATAGTTGTGGACCAGCAAATTGGGAAGTGATAACCAATATCCATGGAATCATTCTTTATAATTTGCCTGTCAAAAGCAGGTCTTTGAGAAAACAGATGTGTTCACAAACGTATTATAGGCTTCATAGCTATGCTCAAATCACCTGAACAGAATTACTATAAGCTTTAGTTGGTAGTTTATATATATCCTTCATCAAACAAACAACACAGCAGATTCTCTTTCTCCTGAAACTAATTTTTGCTTTCCTTTCTGAGAAGTTATCCATAACAAACATTCTTTACCATTCTGGCAGTTAAGAGTTGTAATCAACTGTATCCTGTATGCAATTACATACTGTATAAACAAACAAAAAGAAATAGTAATCAGTAGGCTGTAATAGGGAAACTGATGTGGTTGCCTCTTCTTGTAGATGTCTGAATAATCCTCAGTTTTAACATGTTTAAAAATAGGTTTCAAGTTCCAAAGCAACTAAAAAATGTTAAAAATAAAACCACCCTAAAGTCAATAAATTCTGCCACTTGAGACTATATTCCCTTTTGCATTGGGATTATAGCTTCATGAACAGAAAGAAATGACAACAGCTACCTTACCTTTTGAACCACTTATTACCAGGCCAAGTTCAGCACAAATGGTAGCACAGGTGATCTCATAGTCATGTCCTGTCAAAATAGCTCGAGGAGTTGCAAAATCACCTTCAACGAAAAAATAATAAAAGCAATATTTGGTTACAATCTATTTCCAAGATCACTGCTTTCAATCACTGAAGTGTCTTCAGTTTCCTTGCTCTTTGAGTTCATGTTCCTCACAAATCACTTCTATGCTACTGTTTGCATGTGGTTGTTCTGTACTCATATCTATGTAGTACAGCAGCAGTATACTACAGGAGTTCAGCCTGCACATTAATATAAAAGTCAGGTGTGTAGTAAAACCAAACAGAAGTTGGAGCGCACAGATTTGCATTTTCCCCTCCCTCCATCTCCCCCTCTTTTTTTTTTTTTTGTGGAAGAAAAGATCTAAGTCAATTACTACCTTTTCCTATAACAGGCATAAGTAAATGCAAGCGTCACTATGACAGGTACTGAGAGGAGACACCTACAGTGCCCAAACATGAAGTAAAACATCCATTCACTGATTTTATTTTAACTTAGTAACAGTGTTGAAACCTCAGCCTGATGTCTAGTCCCTTGTAAGATGCGGAGCTTGGACCATAATCAGTATGCACTTCAGATAAGTTTGCAAAATCAAAACACCCAAACCCAACATTAATAACGGCTGCTCCTATTAGACAGTTCCCTGCAACAAGAACAAATAAAACTGTATTCTTTGAGATCCTCTTTGTAATCAAACATATATGCATACCATAAAGAAAAAGAAATTGTACAACTGGCACATTTAAAGGAAAAAAAAATGTTATTCTCCTGGGACACAGAAAGGGTAAGCAAATGCTATAAAGCTCTTTAAATAGTTTTGTAATTTCACTCATAGGTCATTCACTGGATCACCCTCTTCAAGAGTGCTAGCATTTCATGGAAATCACAGTATTATTTTTGTATTACCATACAATCAGTTCATTCGCATCAAAACTGTAAAGAATGTATCTTTGGCAATGTTATCAGGTAGTTCCAAAAAGGATTAGATGAGTTTTTAAGCAACACGGAATAATTTCACTTCATTATAAATAATGATATGTGAGATACCAACGAGTCAGTAAAGCAATGGCAAAAATCAAACTTATTTTACTTCAGAAACAGGAGATGGTTTTGCAAAGAGACAGAGTAGTAACAGGGCCACCTGACTCCACTGGTTACTAAGGTAGCATCATTCAAATCATATTTGGGGTTGTAACTTTTCAAAAGATAAAACCAGCATAATGGCATTAGTCTGTCCATGTAGAGCCTTAACAGTACTAACAATACCGGTACTGGGTCTTATTAGAAATTATGGAAATACGTTAAAACGGGTAGCTACCCAGACCTGCATGTGTCCAGTGAGAGACTTCTGTGGAAAAGAAGTGTGGATCTGGGATTGCACAAATAAAAGCTTAGCTTAGTCTCTATATTTTACATTTTTACTCAGACCACTTGCAACACCTCCCAGAGTGTCCATGTAGTTGCCACGTTCAAATGTTTTTTTAGAAAAGGTCATAATCTCTGACAAAGTATCAAATCAAGGATTTTGATCTTTCAAAATTTGATTTATTCTGCAGTTACTGTTATAATCTATAATTTATATCCACAATACAAAATCTTGAGAAATAAATGAATCTGCTTCTATTTAGATATATACTTATACACTAAATATATATGTGTGCACATATACACACACATGCGCATGTATGTTACCAGCATTTTAAATATGAAAATGCTTTGGAGCAACTTGCCAAATTGTCCCTAATCTCTTAGTAAACAATCATTAAAATCTATTGCTTTGGTTTCATACAATGTTTGGCAAAACACACTCAAACCCAGGAAGTGTAGAAGACCGTTCAGAAGCAAAGGAAAAATTCCCACCAAATTAGAAGCATAAGGGTAGATTTAATGGCCTCTCGGAACTTCTCAGGGGGCTGACTCAACAAACACAAACCTTTTAGAGAAATTTTGCTCTATTGAACTTTCCTCACCTAAACATGGGGCAGGCACCTTAGAAGATTCATAAATTAAGACTGTGTAGACAAGCCACAAGTTTGTAATTTTACGGAAAATGTAACAGCAACCACAACAGTCTCATTATCCAGTAAGAATTTAATTTTGTTGACCCAATTCTTTCTCCCTGTTGTCCCCAAGCCATAAAAGAGGAGGCAGCTTTCTGCATGTACAGCTCTTGTTTGCTTGCTTTTAAATGAGCTGCCTACGTTAGCAAAATTCTAGAATTCTGGTTTTATTGCTTTCTTTTGCTTTCAGAAATTGCATTTAACACATAGTTGCATAGATCAGCAAGGAATTAATCTAATTATACACGTTATATACACATGTTAATGAAACTTTTGAAATCACAGGAGTTTTAAATGTACAACATTGTAGTGGACGTAATGAATATAAGACGGAGTCAGAAGTACTTATAAGAAGCAATATCTGAATTAATTAAGAGGTGCAGATAAACAAAATCCATATAGTAAACTTGTTGCTTACAGCAATTACATTACTGTAGGCTTACCTTCGTTAGGCTGTCAGTAACTATATACATAAAAAGTAGGAGGTAAGATTCTTAGAACAAGAAGTAGAAACTGGGCATATATATTTACCGTAGTCCACCAAAAAGTAAAATTAGATAGGTAATGGCTCACAGTCTTTTTAGAATTTGGACTTGACCTCAAATGTAACAGATTATAAATCTACAGGTAGCAGGATCAATGTTTCATAAATTGTATCAACTGTTTACTAAATCACATTTGTTCTAAAGAAACACTTTAATGCTAAAAAGAAAAGGAACAAATATGAATAGTATTTTTAAAGAAATTAGGACCTGAATCAATACCGTAAAAGAGGAGTCCTGTGAAAAGTCAGGCTGGCTCCTTTGATAAGAACGTCAAGTATTTAGGGGTTTCCAAGCCTCTGATTTTCCAAATAATGGGGTCAACTTAAAAGCTGATCGTAGAGCAGAACAGATTTCTTTAAAAGCTTTTAAACTGTTACTGCTTCAGAAGATTGTCATGGTTTTCAATAAGCAAAGAGAAAATTTTATCTTGTTGCTGGTTTAAGGGGCACCACTTCAAACTTTTCTAGATTGTTTTAGGGGAACCGGCTTGCAGACCTTTTGAAAAGCTGGGAAGTGACTTCAAAGGGAAAAGAGTCTTTGTCCGCTAAGCAGGTTTATGACCACTGATGCAAACCCTAAGTAAGGACTGAAAAGAATACTCTGTGCATCTTTATGGAGATCCTTAAGGAAGACGAACAAGTCAAATGAGATTAAAGGTAGTTCAAATCCTAGCACTAATAACCAAGACACAACAGTTTTACAGATGTGCTTTTCTCAGCATAGTATATAATAATATCCTTAGTCTATACCATTGCTGGATTGCTACTTGAAGTTGAATGCTGTTAGAATCTTAATGCCACATTCACATTGCAACAAATGTCATCAATGATTTAAGTCACAGGAGATATACGTAAAGTTATTTTCCAGTAACGGACAGAATACTCTACCTTTACAGTAACAATTCAAAGTATTTCAAAAGAACTCTCCTACATTCCAGAAATAATTTCTGCAAAGCTGTTTTCCAATAGAAAAAAGTGTAAAATATCACTCTTCCTTAAGTGACTAACGTACATTTTAAATCATAAAATTCAAGCTTCAGAACATAAAAGAAGAGCATATGATATCATGTCATCATATGGTGCTATTTCACTGAAAAAATGTTAGGCATTTGGAAACTATACTTAAAAAGGAACAGCAGGATTATAGCAAAGTCAAAACTTTTTTCTAGTTTAATGGCATCCAGAAGAAGATATGTCTGGCTGAATAACAAGAAAATGGTTTGTATTGCTGGGTCTTTCTCCGCTATTTTTTAGCTTCATTCATGTCACAAAACAAAACAGGATAGTGACATTTTAAAGCCATCACTAAATTCCTAAAATAATCACTTTCTATATTTTCAGCACTAAGCTGTAAGAGCTGAGGAACTCATTGAAAGAAAAATATCTCCCTAAAAAGAAATCAAACCAGAGATCAACAGAAAAACTTCTCTCACAATGAAACAGGAGATACTCTTCCTACTGTTTCTGGGCATGATAATATTATGCAACACATTAAAATATAAAATATTTGAGTATGCTCATTTTTATGTTTTATGCTGAGCAGACAGTTAATTATAACAACTCACAGACAGCCAAATAGTAATTTCTAAATTATTATTCTATAATTGCAGGGGCTGTAGGGAACTTTTAAATGGCAAATTAATTATGTGATTTTATGTCAATATAAAATCTGAATTAAATGAAGGATCAGTTAATCTAGCTATCTTTTTACATATTTCCTGCAAAAAATAAGTGATTGAGTACTTTTTCAGAAGGATACATCAACCAAGTCAAATTATATATGTAACTAAAGTCTTCTAAAAATCATTCTACAAATTTCACAATTTTGAAGTTGCTTCATATGACAAAAATTGAAGAAAACAATAAAAGGTTTGAAATCAATTTGAGGAATACAAATATACTTACAGAACATATGACATTTGGACAAATGTGCTTTCAGCAAAATGTAAGTAAATCAAAACTAATTTGCTGCTAGGCTTCTATGTTGATTGTATAGCAAGTTTCAGAGTTTAATTACATCAAAGTGATGACTGTCAAATATTATATAAATGTTGTATATTAACTTTATTTATAGATCACATCCAGTGAACATTTAAATAACAGCCAATTGGTTATAACCCATTTCACCGGCACAGAAAGGCTAGCTCTTTGATGGACGTGAGATCTTACTAAAGCAAAATCTTACTTACACACAATATTGCTGAAGTATTCCTAGAACTTCAGTTTGAATAATCCTTCCTTTGTAAATACGCGTTTTTATGTAACAATGTAATCGTTTCATACTATATAGGAACTTCATTGTTGTCCAGTTCTTCACATGACACTCCATCACAATTTCCTCTAATTCCTTCAAACTATTTACTATCTGTTCAGACTTTTTTTTTACAAGGACAACCTTATGCCTAGATGCAAGTTTTGTTTTCACAAAAAACACTTCA